TCCAAGTTAAATCAGAATTCTCTTAACGAGACAAAAAGGAAGAATGACTAGAAATGCCTGTCATTCTGATATGATGTTTTCAGCAACCTTAGAAACCATATGCAGGCATTTCAATATTTATTGCTATTAACATGTTCTTCTAAAATAGGTTCTAAAATATCTCCACAGCACTGAGCTAAGATGTGGTAAAAATGTAGTTTGTTCACCCACAAATGCAAATATATAGAGATAGATAGATTTGTATATGCATGCAAACATATATATGATAGATATTTGTATATATGCAAAGATATTGTATACATGCAAATATATCTTTATCTATCTATATATAAAGTTACTTGATATTTTAGGCTTGTTATGAGAGCTCTTTAAGCCCTGTTCTCATTACTTTGGTGAAGATTGGTTTACACATATTCCTGAATAATGAGATTGAGATATAGTAAAGCTCATCAGTTAGGGTGCCACTAATTTGGGAGGTGTTCTTTTATAGTTGAGATGCAACTCTAGAGCTGTGCTATCCAATGGTGGCTATTTAGATATAAATTAAATTTTAAAAATTAAAAATTCAGTTCCATGCTCACCATAGCTACATTTCAACTACTCAAAGACCACATGTGTGGGCCGGGGTTGTGGCTCAATGGTAGAGCGCTTGCCTAGCAAGCATGAGGCACTGGGTTTGATCCCCAGCACCATATAAAAATAAACAATTAAAATAAAGGTATTGTGTCCATCTATGACCAAAAAAAACCCACTTGTGATTAATAGTTACTCTTAGATAGTAGAACTATGGAATATTTCTACCATTACAAAAAGTTCTATTGATAGCATTTGCTCTATAAGATCAAGATTTTTAAGAAGCAAAACCAGGACCAAATCATCTGAGTGTAGTTCATCACTCAAAAGTATTTCTCTAACTCTTCTTTGGAAATAGAAACCCCTTTACAAGTTACATTAAGTAAACATCATGTTTTATGTATTTTGAGTTTATAGCTTCCTTAACAGCACATTCCAGGTACACATGCTATGGGTGGGGATTTAAGAAGTAATTGGACTTGGTGTTTCCCCTCTATGCCATGACTTATTTTGGGGGAAAAATGACTAAGATGTAATGTAATAGACATATAAATGTAAGTATGTATATGTTCTGGGAGCTAAAAGAAAAAGATGATTCTAAAATCAGGAGGTTATAAAATTCTTTACAAATTCAAATGAATGCCATACCAAGAGGTTTGGACTTTTATGGTAAGATCAGCTTGTTATGAATTCTGGGTTTGAAAAACATGCAACTCCATCTCCCCATGTTTTAAAACTATTAAAACATTTTAAGCAAAAGATTGGTAAAAATATACATGTATTTTCAAGGGGCTATTCTGGTAGCAATTACAGCAGGTAAGAAACTGAAGGCAATACCTGTTGCAAGCTATAGAAATAACCTGGGTTCAAGATAGCAAAAGCCTTGATGAGGTCAGTGACAATGGGAATCCAGATAGAGAATAGATTGAAGAGAGGTCTGTTTAAAAATTCAAAGCTTGATGAACATCTATTCTACAATTTGACTCTAGATAACATTGTGTAATTTAAAAATATTCATCTTCTAAAGGTAAAGATTTATCCCATCACTGGGTATATTCTAAAAAATGAGTTGCAGAGATTCAATAACTGCATTTTAGTATGTTGTTTTTACTTTTTAAAGAGGAAGGAACTGTGTGTGTGTGTGTGTGTGTGTGTGTACAGAAAAATAGTTATGGAAGATTTTGTAAAGATACAGATCAGGGTATTAGTGAATACCTATATTTGGGCAGGTTCACAGTGTTTGTTTTCTTCATTTTGCTAATCTATGGTTTCTATTTTTTTCTTTCATGACAATTTGTTGCTTTTCGGGGGGTGGGCAGTACCAGGGATTAAACTCAGGGGCACTTGACCACTGAGCCACATTCTAGCCGTATTTTGTATTTTATTTAGAGACACAGTCTCACTTAGTTGCTCAGTGCATCGACCTTGCTGAGGCTGGCTTTGAACTCGTGATTGTCCTCTCTCAGCCTCCCAAACCGCTGAGATTACAAGTATGTGCCACTGCGCCCAGCATGTTGCTTTTTTTTTTTTTTTAATAAAAGAATGGTTGTTTTTAAAGTAGGAATTTCAAAGAGTCACAATAATTATACCTAAGAAAGTATTCTCACAATGTTTTTAACAATGCCAACATGGCTAACATAAGTACATTTCCCCAAGTTTACTACTTTAGGACAACACTCAATTGAAATGTAAAAAATTTAAAAAAAAGTGTTAAAAAATTAGTTGCACTATTTCATAACTTTATCTTCCACAATAGTTATATACCATTCTTAAATGATTGCCAGAGCCTACTTTGCTGTTATTCACTACATTAGTATTACTGTATGTAATTAAAATAGAAGTTATTATGATTTCACCTATTCCCTTTTAATCTAGTCTTTTTCTTTTACAGAAATAATGAGTTCTCTAACTCCCTCTGCCACCCTACAAAACCCTATTCCCCAGAGGTATTTCATCTTCCTAAATCTACCTAAAAACTCACTATTTAATGAGTTCAGGTTTCCCCTCTGGACTAAGAAGGTACAATGCTTCTTCTGCCTCATCTCCATTTATTCCAAGGCTAACAAGTTTATACGTGGATGCCACATTTAGCAGAGCCAAAAAGCAACTTCTCTACACCTCTGTACAGAACAGTCAAAGATCTCTATATGTCCTGCTCCACAAACATCTCCTCTCCCTACTTGCCAGAAGTACCACATGGCTGTTAAGAATGTGTCTCTCAAGCCCACAAATTCTCTCAGAGCTATCACACTACAGCCTCTCCAGTTCCCAAACTGGAGCATGTATAAAGGAGGGACAGGGTGGTGAATTGAGAGGAATATATTTAATAGGAAGTACAAGCAAACATCAATGAGCTAGTTACAGGTGATAATGGACATGTCTAGAAATGGGTTGTCTACTCTGGTGCAGTGGAAGAAATTAACATTTCTGACTTGCCTTGTTTTGTTAATATTTAAGCATTTGTTCTATTGAATGTGACTACTTGTACAGACATACTTTTGTTTGCCTCACACATGAAAAGTGAAAGCATAAGGCATGTAATCCAAGTGGTTTCTGATCCAAGCATTTTTATAGCATATTATTAAATCTAGCTCAAAAATAATAGGAAAGATAATACCTTCCCCCCTAATATTTGCTCTATCAATCCAGACTCAACAGCACAGAATATCTTGAATTGTATTAAAAAATAAAGGCTTCACTTTATAAAATACCATTTGAGGTGTTATTTTATCAATGATCAGCATGCCCACCTGCTGAAAGTAGAAAATAATGCATGCTCCTCTCTCCATGGGTGAGTATTTCAGGTTTAAGATGGAAAGTTCTGAAAAAAGAAAGGAGGAGGAGGCTGTTATAATGTGTGTATACATCATTTTCCTCCAGAAAGAATTAGTACTGAAATGCTTTTGCTGGCTTTATGACACAGATTCCATACCTTTTGTTAATTAACAAGGAAACAGGTGGTGACAACAACTACATCAAAACTAGAAAGGCTTTCCAAATTGAAATCAGACTATCATTTTGAAGACAATATGGAACACTATTGTACTTATTACATTGTTTATTTCAAGATCAGCTTGTTACAAATTCTGGGTTTGAAAAACATGCAACTCCATCTCCCCATGCACTGCAACTAGGAGTTATACTAATACATGAATGTAGAAAACAACAGATGACTAAAAAATCATCTTTGGATTTGTTTTATTATCATTCTTATATTTGAATCTTGAGTGTCCTCGATCAGAAAATTCATTCAACCTTAAGCAATGAAGTCTCACCCTAAAAATCCGAAGACCTGAATGTCGAGAAATTCTCTATTTTTAATAGGCAGCACAGTCCTTTCTTACTCCCTCCCTTCTCTTGGATCAGCAGGTGTCTCTGCCGCTCCTGATCGAGAAAAGGAAAAGGAGGGGGCGATGAGAAAGGAAAGGAAATTGTCTACGTATTTTGGTGGTGGAGGTGGGAGGTATTTTAATATGATTAAACTCTCCAGTTTTAACGTTCTTAACCATATTTTATAATGATCTGCTATTAAGGATTATGCAGCAGAGTTTGGGTATGTCCATCTGTAACTTATAAACGGAAAGGAACAAGGAATAGGAGGCAGCACAGGGATGGGGTGGGGGAGAGCAAATGTGGGCGCGTGGGGACGGGAAGGGAGAGGCGGATTTGGCAGTCAGAAGGGGGACGGGAGGAACAAAAATGGAAACTGTGGCCTGGCTGCCCTGCCCCATTGTGTGCGTGTGTGGGGTTGGGGCCCACAATGTCGCACTCCCCTCCTCCCACTCCGGGCTTTTCCTTTGCTGGTCTAGGCCACTAAATATAATGTACAAAAGGTCAATAGCCAAGAAAAGAAAGGCCATCTCCCGAGGATGCGCAGGCTTGCTGCCGGGCGACCAGGAATCGGCAGGGCAAGCGGCGGTCCCAGGGCGCGTGGCTTTGGGGCGTTGGAGGGAAGAAGCCCCAAGATGACCAGCCCAGACCCTTGGGCCCACGGCGCTCGCCCGTCCTCACTACCCCTAGGCGCCTCTGACCAGGGCGGTCGGTGAAGGCGAAGCTGAGCGTCCGCCCGCCTTATGGGTGCCACTGGGGCTCGCCTCATCCCCGTCTGACCCTTTTCAGGGCTCGCCTGGTTGCCCCCGAGTCCAGGCCCTCCTGTGCGGGATCCCCTCCTCGTCATTTAGGGCGGCAATCTCCAAAAAACATGGCGGCCGGGCATCGACCGCGGCGCCTCCTCTCCGGGTCCTCGGGGTTGACGAGGTTAGCTGCGGCCAGCGCCCGGGACCCGCGGCGGGCAAACCCGGGAGGTGCGGGGGAGGCCCGGGCCGAGAACTGGAAGGAGCGGCGCGTTGCCGAATCCGCTAGCCAGGCGCGCGCGGGGGCGGCGGGAGGGCGCGGGCTCGGGCTCAGGCTCGCGCGCGGAGGCGCGGACGCGGGCGGGGGCGGAGCGGCAGCGGTGGTTGGAAGCGGCAGCTCAGAGCCCTCTCGCGGCCGCGGCGGCAGCAGCGCCAGCCCCAGCAGCAGTCCGGCCGCCGCCGCCGCCGCCGCCGCCGCCTCGCGCTCTTGCCATCCGGCCCGACATGAGTGAGGCGGAACGGGCGCCTTCGCCTGCCGCGCCGCTGGCGGTGGCGGCGGCCGCCTCTGAGGAAAAGAAAGGGAAGGAACCGGAGCGCGAGAAGCTGCCACCCATCGTGCCCGCCGGCGCGACGGCGGTAGGTACGGGGCGGGGGCCGCGGGCCGCCCCGACGGCAGGAGGGAGGGCGGTCGGGCGAGGGGCGCCCGGGGCCCGCATCTCCTCTGGGGTGCCCGGGCGCTGCCCCAGGTCGATGCATCTGGGTTGGACTTCCTTGGCCGAATTGAAAGAGTTGCGCCTGGTGGACAGCCCCGAACACTTGGCGAGCTGCACCTTTCACGCTCTGGAAATGTTGGGGGTGGCCGGTTCTGATGGACCTTTTTGGTTATTTTCTGGGGCTTAACCCCCTAGCTCCCTGCACACACACGCGCGCGAGCACACACACAGATACTTTTGTCTAAGGGCATGACCTGCATCCTGGAGTGGCATTATCTTTTGGATGAACATACATGTCAGGCAGGCACGGAGCTGCCTGCCTGCCTGCCTTGGAGGTGTGGATATTTCGCTCTTTTCTTTCCCTTCCCCCTTCCGATTGAACAGGCTCTGCGGCGAGTTTCCACTTAATTGTGACCTTTCCGTTGCTCTCAAGGTAGTGGGAGGTAGATGCATGGATGACGGTTTTATTTTTCATATGGTACAGACATGTGACTTAAGTGGGGGGAGGCCTTTTGAACCTTTTATTTAAACTCAACTTGTCTAAGCTTGACAGAGATGATTTCCCAGCCGGATTTTCGGAAGGGTTATTTGGAGAGCGCTCTAGGGCTTCAAACTACATGTTGCCAGATGATGTCATGGGACAGCCCCCTCTCTCCCTTTTCCCGATTTGCACTGGTAGTTTTGACTCTGGTTACTTTTGAACACAATAAAAAAAAATTAGCCTCTCGTTTTGAGATTTATGTTTGACATAATATTTAAATACTTTTTGAAAGTTTGCTTTGATATATTCAAAGATTGTGATTTGTCATGCAACTGTGCGTGACAAAATAGTAAAAGTTTAGTGAACATTATACATTCTTTATTCCTACTTGCAATTAATTTCTGAAAACCTCCCTCTTAAATGACTAAGAACTTACTAAAATAACTCACTCTTCTTTAAAGTATTAGTACTGGAATAATGTTTTGATTTGATAAGTTTTTGAAATGTCTCAGAGCTGGGAAACTAGAAATTGTTAAAAACAACTTTACTAAGTCAATGTGGCAAACCGTGAACAGTAATGGTATGAATTTAAAAGCATAGCTACCATTGATAAATTGGACCTGCAATTAGGGATTACCTTGGGAAATGTTTCAAGGAATTTGTCACCCAACTTCTTATATACCTGATTCCTCCTTCTGGTACACTAGGTTTTAAAACCTTATATAGGAAGTTCTTAACTCACAGTGTTCCAACAGTTCATTTCTAAGGTGGTTTGTTTAAAACAATAAATGTGCTTATACAATTATGTGATTGGGTTTAGTTTCTGAAGTAGACACCTTCCCCAAAAACTATTTATCTTATTGTAACTAAATTTGAAGGTTTGGAATAAAAATTTACAGAAATTGATAAAATGTGGTTGCAGGTATATGTTATCTGAGGCCCACATGGCTTTGGAATTTCTATCTACGTTTTCAGATTTTTAGGAAGGTAATTTGAGAT